CTCGCCAGGATGCCTGCGGGGTTTCACCTCCCTTCCGCACCGGAACGCGCAGATAGCACAGGCACCGCTGTCTTGGACCCTTATTCTCTTGCACAGGGTGTCTAGAGCTCCGACCACTTTATTTCGGCACCGCACCCCCCCCTTCATCATCATCATCATCATCATCATCATCATCATCATCATCCTCATCCTCATCCTCATCCTCATCCTCATCCTCATCCTCATCCTCATCCTCATCCTCATCATCATCATCATCATCGTCATCGTCATCGTCATCATCATCATCATCACCATCACCATCATCCTCACCATCATCACCATCATAATCACCATCATCATCATCATCATCATCATCAACATCATCATCCACATCATCATCATCATGCGCCCCCTCCGTCTCATCGCCCCCCCGCGGCTCCAGCGCCCGCCCAGCGCCCCCTCCGCCTCGACCACTTTATTTCGGCACCGCACCCCCTCCCCCGCGCCGCCCCCTCCCCCGCGCCGTCTCAGCGCCCTCCCGCGGCTCCAGCGCCCGCCCAGTGCCTCCTCCGCCCCGACCACTTTATTTCGGCACCGCACCCCCCCTCCCCGCTCCGCCCCCTCCCCCGCGCCGTCGCGGCTCCAGCGCCCGCCCAGTGCCCCCTCCGCCACGACCACTTTATTTCGGCACCGCACCCCCCCTCCCCGCTCCGCCCCCTCCCCCGCGCCGTCTCAGCGCCCCCGCGCGGCTCCAGCGCCCGCCCAGTGCCCCCTCCGCCCCGACCACTTTATTTCGGCACCGCACCCCCCCTTCCCCGCTCCGCCCCCTCCCCCGCGCCGTCTCAGCGCCCCCGCGCGGCTCCAGCGCCCGCCCAGTGCCCCCTCCGCCCCGACCCTTTATTTCGGCACCGCACCCCCCCCCGCTCCGCCCCCTCCCCCGCGCCGTCTCAGAGCCCCCAGCGGCTCCAGCGCCCGCCCGCGCCCCCCCTCCTCCCTGACCACTTTATTTCGTCACCAACCGAAAACCCACCCCGCTCGCCCCTTCGCCGCGCCGTCTCGAGCGCCCCCCCCGCGGCTCTCCAGCGCCCGCCCAGCGCCCCCTCCGCCCGACCGCTGGTAATTTCGGCACCGCCCCCCCGCCCCCCCTACGCCCCTTCCCCGCGCCGTCTCAGCGACCCCCCAGCTGCCTCTAGCGCCCGCCCAGTTGCCCCCCTCCCCCCGACCACTTAATTTCGGCACCGCAACCCAACCCCCCCCCGCTCCGGCCCCTCCCCCGCTCCGTCTCAGCGCAACCCTCCCGCGGCTCCAGCGCCCGCCCAGTGCCCCCTCCGCCCCGACCACTGCATTTCGGCACCGCACCCCCCCCCCGCTCCGCCCCCTCCCCCGCGCCGTCTCAGCGCCCCCCCGCGGCTCCAGCGCCCGCCCAGTGCCCCCTCCGCCCCGACCACTTTATTTCGGCACCGCACCCTCCCCACCCGCTCCGCCCCCTCCCCCGCGCCGTCTCATCGCACCCCCGCGGCTCCAGCGCCTGCCCAGCGCCCCCTAGCGCCCCGACCACTTTATTTCGGCACCGCACCCCCTCGCCCGCTCCGCCCCTTCCCCCGCGCCGTCTCAGCGCCCCCTCTCCCGCGCCGTCTCAGCGCCACCGCGCGGCCCCAGCGCCCGCCCAGCGCTCCCTCCGCCCCGACCGCTTTATTTCGGCACCGCGCCCCCCCGCTCCGCCCCCTCCCCCGCGCCGTCTGCAGCGCCCCTGCGCGGCTCCAGCGCCCGCCCAGGTGCCCCCCGTCCGCCCCGACCACTTTATTTCGGCACCGCACCCCCCCCCGCTCCGCCCCCTCCCCCGCGCCGTCTCAGCGCCCCCGCGGCTCCAGCGCCCGCCCAGTGCCCCCTCCGCCTCGACCACTTTATTTCGGCACCGAACCCCCCCCCGCTCCGCCCCCTCCCCCGCGCCGTCTCAGCGCCCCCCCGCGGCTCCAGCGCCCGCCCAGCGCCCCCTCCGCCCCGACCACTTTATGTTCGTCGTTCGTCGTGTCGTTCGCCCCCCTCGCTCCCCCCCCTGTCCACGCTTCCCAGGGTAGCCCCCCTGGGCCACGGAACCCGTTATTTTCGTCGTTCGTCGCGTCGTTCGCCCCCCTCGCCCCCCCCCCGCTCCCTCGCCCCCCCCCCCCCCCCCCGTCCACGCTTCCCAGGGTGCCCCTCGCCCCCTCCCCTGTCCACGCTTCCCAGGGTAGCCCCCCTGGGCCACGGAAACCTTTACTTTCGTCGTTCGTCGCGCTCGCCCTTCCCCGCCCCGTCGCCCCCCCCCCCCTGTCCACGCTTCCCAGGGTAGCCCCCCGGCTCTTGGGGAACCACTGAGGCACTCTTGGCCGAGGCCTAGAAACAAAACCAGGCCAGGCCCCAGAAATCGTCGTCGTCGTCCTCCTCCTCCGCTTTCTTCTTGGATCCTCCTAAACCCCTCCTGGAGGAAGGAGGCGAGGGCCTCCTGTCCTTCGCAGCTCCTTTGTGCAAGAGCCAGGGCACGCGTGCCACTTGTTTCGCTTCAGAACATGTGTCCCGCGTCTTCTTGCGTGGCCGCTGGCTCCAGGAATCCAGCGCTGAGCGATATTTGCAAGACGTTGCCGTTGCTACTGTCCTTGCCGCCCTCCCTGATAACTCTCGGTCTCAGGTCGAGTTCAGTGCTTCTGTTAGCGACTACCTTGTCGCCTCGGTGCGTTCGCGGCGGCCCGGCTCTCCTTTCCTGCCCGCGCGCGCGCGCCGCGCGTCCGCCCCGCGACGACTGCTACTCTGCGCAGCGAGCGGGGATGCTGCTCTCTATCCCCACCGCGCCCGCTACGCAGTCGTCTGCAGCTTCTCGGTCCCCACCCTCTCCCTCCCTCCTTCTACAAAGGCTGACCTGTGGCGCTGCTACGACCTCCTGGTGGTCGTCCAGGGGCCCGTGTTGAACACGGCCACCTGAGTGCGCCGCACGGTGCGTTCGCGGCGGCCCCGCTCTCCTTTCCTGCCCGCCGCGCGCGCGCCGCGCGTCCGCCCCGAGACGACTGCTACTCTGCGCAGCGAGCGGGGGTCCTCTTCCTCCTGTCTCTCCTCTCTCCTTTTGCGTTTAGGGCGCGCGCGTCTGCGTGTAACTTGCATTGTCTGTCCCTTGAGACTGCAGGTTATGTGCGACTGGAGTGGGGACTTTTAAGGGTCCCCATTTTGGTGTCTGCGGCCTCTGGCTCGAGACCTAGGGATTGCCCCCTCACCTCGCTTCGCTCCCTAAGGGCGCTCTCGCCCAGGGGCCGGCGAGCGTGCCTAAAGGCGCGCTGCCGTGACCGCAGCGCGCCGTGTTGCGCGGGCCCTAGCGGGGTCGCGCCGGGAGTGCGCGCGCGTGGCCGCTTTGCAAAAAGAAGGATCCTTATCTTTCCTCCGTCCTGGTCTTCCTCCTCCTCCTCCTCCTCCTCCTCCTCCTCCTTCTCTTCCTCCTCCTCCCTCTCCTCTCTCCTTTTGCGTTTAGTGCGCGCGCGTCTGTGCGTAACCGTTTGGTCCCCGCATTCCAGCTGCGCGCTTCGCTCCTTGCCTCCGTCGTCGTTGTCGTCGCCCTTCCTCTTTTTTCGATCGCGTTGTCTCCTGCATCTCTTCGGGCCCGCAAACCGCATCACGGACAGTGAGCAACTTGGGGGGGGATCGGACTGGCTTGCGGTGTGCTGCTGGACTGTCTGGATTCTCCTCTCCCTCCACGCAGAGCAGGAGGGGCTGTGGGAGAGGGGCGGACGAGGAAGAGCAGGGGAGGACCTGAGGGTTGGAGGGAGGGCCGCCAGCGGGCATCCCGCTTTGGGCTGGGAGTGGCGGCGGGTTGCCTGGCAACGCCTTTCGAAGGACTGCTCCTGTCTGTGCCAACGCTCGCGCTGGATGCTGCAACTTCCAGTGTGCCACTTAGTTGGGCTTTCCAGCTTAATCGATTGGTGTTGGACCCTCTGCTTGTATTGGCAGTGGCGCAGTAGTTTTTGACATGCTCGCCTCTGCCGTTATCCATTTGTGACAATGCCAGGGTGTCCAGTAGTGGTAACAAACAAAAGCGACAGCCAAGCAATGCCACACAACGATTCCGTGCAACGCCAAACAATGCCTAACAATTCCAAGCGATGACAAGCAGTGCCAAACAGCGCCAGCCATTGCCAAGCAACGCCAAGCAGTGTCAAGCAGTGCCGAGCAACGGTTCCAAGCAATGCCAAGCAACACCAAGCAATGCCAAACAATGTTTTGGATTGCGTTGCTTTGTGCTGTTCAAAACTGCTTTGGGTTGCTGTGGAAGAGGGAAGACCTCTAACCGGGGGTCGCGCTGGGTTCGTTACGAGGGATCGTGGCCTCGGGGTAGGGGATGCATGCGACAGTCTGCGATGAGAGGGCAACGACTGTTTGCATTCTGCCACGCCTCAGCGTGTCGGGGGGCGCGCGCGGTGGCGGGGTTGTGGTTGCGCATGTCAGGAACAAATCTCAGGCAAGAGCCCCATGTCGACTTCCATCTATGCAAGTGTTAGAGAATATTTGAGACGAGCGTGCTCAGCGTATAGGCGAGAGCCCCGGTTTGAAAACCATTCACCCTCCATCCGGGCAGCTGTTGGAAGTTTCAAGTTTCTGGATCAGCAGCGGTCAGGCAGGGAATGTCAGAGCAAACGTCCAGCCCGCCGAAACGACGCACCTGCTGGTGCGCTAGGGCGACTTTTGACTTGCACATGAATAGTTGAGGCGGAGCGGGGAGAGAGTGACGGGGACGCGGGGGCTCCTGTGGGGGGGCGAGGGGGCGGAGCTGGAGGCAGAGTGGAGTGGGAGGAGGAGGAGGAGGAGGAGGAGGAGGAGGAGGAGGAGGAGGAGGAGGAGGAGGAGGAGGAGGAGGAGGAGGAGGAGGAGGAGGAGGAGGAGGAGGAGGAGGAGGAGGAGGCCGAGCAGCCTCAGAAACACGATGACTCGCACGAGTTTCTGGAAAGGACAGAGGGGAAGGAGACGAGAAGGATGGGGAGCGCATGGCGCTGCCTCGGCTCGGGAGGGCGGGGCGAGGAGCGGTGCCCGCGGAATGGCAGAGGGAGGGCGGCTGCGCGACCTGGGTTCGGACCTGGACCTGCGCGTGGCCGAGCTGGAGGAGGAGGTTCGCCGCGTGCGGGAAGAGGTCGAGGCGTGCGCCGTGCTGGTGCTGTCCCTCGACGCGGCCTCCACCGCCGCCAGGGTGACCGCCGCCGCGAGCGGGGCCGTGTCCCACGCCGAGAGCCGGGGGGGCGGCTTCGCGGATGGCGCCTTGGGGCACGAAGGTGGGGCCAGCAAGGAGGTCGCCGCGCGGCTGGCGGTGCTCGAGGACGCGTGGGCGCTGCGCAGCACGACGGTGGCCAGGCACGCCGATGAGGCCATTGCACGCCTCGAGGCGGAGTTCGTGGGCGTGTGGCGGGAACTGCGGACACAGGAGCAGGGCTCGGGCTAAACGATGTCTGGCGATTTTGTGGACCGGTTTCTCTTTGGCTTCGTTTGGCAGCGAAGGTGGAACGAAGACAGAACCAGGGAAAACGATCACAAAACGAAAACGGCAACCACTGTTTAGGTCGAGCTCTGCACAGGAGGCCGCGCGGGCGCCAGCGGAGCGGGCGCTCGAAGAGCTGCAGAGGGGCCTGGGCGAGCTCCGGGCTGGCCTCGCCGAGGTGCGCGGGCAGTCTGCCGCCATCGCGGAGTCCGTGGCCACCGTCGAGCGCAGGGGCCCCGACGCGGATGCCGTCGAGGCGCTGGTGGCGAGGTCAGGGGCAACGATAGGGGGGGTAGGCGCAAGGGGGGGCCCCCAGATTGAAAGAGTCATTTATGTTGTGCAGCTACGTGGAGGGGCCAGCCACAAGAGGGGGTCGGGCGGACGTCTCCACCAGGAGCCTTGAACATCCAGCACGCACTTTTTACGACAATCGCTGGGGCCCAGCCGCCTGAACTTGTTCGAATCACGGTTCACTGTCGAGACTCGGCGAGCAGCACCCAATATCCGGTGCCGAAGGTGTTCGCAACCTGTGCTACGGAACTCGCCAAATTCCTAAAGTTATCGTGACTTTATGTCCATTGCCGTATGGAAGATATTTGTCCTTAAGGCCTAGGGGCCTTCAGTCTGCTTCAAGGAGGGAGGGAATGGAGGGACCTCAAGAACACACATGACCCATGTGGCTAGCCCACTCCCCCCCCTTCAATTGACGGTCTGATACCACGAGCGGCAAGCCTGCGCTGGACTGGTCGTAAAGTGTCCGGCGCCTGCTCGGGTGCGACGGGTGCATATGTACTTTGGATCGCTTGGTGCACGAAAATGGGATATGCATGATAATCATGACATGTGTAATAACTGCCAATAATAATAGTAATACTTGTACGAACAATAGTACTGATGCTAATACGAGTCATACCATACAACTAATATTTGTAATGATAACCGCATCAGTGATGTGAATCTATCGATGTTAAGACAACGTAGTAGTAACAACCATCATAACGAGAAGCATGTGTTGAATGCTCCAGGAGTGCATCATTCATTGCGCATGCTATGTCTGATAGAAGTGTGCGTGCTTTATGCATGCGTGCGCATGTCTGATGCGTGTATAGGCGAGGTCGAGGAGGAGCGTGGAGTGTGTGTGTGTGTGTGACAAGCGTGGGTGGGACGCGGGTCGGAGAGAAAACCATGACCTCATTAATCATGTTGGGGATAACGTGCAATCCAATGCAAGTGCAGGCGCGTTCACGAGACGATGGACGGCCCCGACCCCCAAGCAATAGCACATGAACTTTGTTCGAAAACATGTGCGGCGTCGGAGGCTTGGGTGCCTCTCCACAGCCGCAATCGGCGGCACGAGTCCAGTCGAGCCGAGCCACCCACGGCCAAGAGTCAGCGGCAACGTCAGGAGGGGGGCAGGTTCAGGGGGGATGCCTCGACCTCCAACCGCCCACTGATCGCCGATAGGGGCCCGATAGCCCACCCCGCTCAGCTAGGTGCAGTTTCGCTGTCGGGGACTCATCGCCGACTTATCGGCGATGTCCCCCCCCCGTGCCAGTCCCCCCCCAATCGTTGCCCCTGACGAGGGTGATGGAGGAGGTCGGCAAGACAGCCTCCAGTCTTGAGGACCGCTTCCACCAGATCGGCACGCTGGCCGAGGGGGCGGACCTGCAGGCGCGACGGCAGGACCAGCTGGAGCAGACCATGGAATTGCTGGTGAATCAGCGCCGGGAGGACGAGCAGAAGGCGCAGGCCCAGGCGCGCGCCGTCGACTCGCGCTTCCGAGAGCTGGAGCGGAGGGAGAGGGCCGAGGGTAGCTGGCGCATTGAGGCGCAGGCGATCCGTGACGAGTTGGAAGACCTGAGGACCTCGCGCTTCCCCGCTGTCTGCCAGCAGTTCACTCGCACGGCACAGTCTCTGTCGGAGGGTCTGCAGGCCTTGCGAGAGGAGGTCCAGGGCCAGGCGGTGTCTGCCTCGCCGGCCGAGGCCCTCGGCTCTTTGGGCACGGGAGATGCCGCGTCGCTCCGCGCGGAGATCTCGGAGCTGCGCGAGCGCTTGCTTCGCGAGCTCTCTGGCGGGCTGGATGGCCGCCTGGCGACCCTTCGTGCCGACGTGGCCGCAGAGGTTGGCAGCGCGGTCCTCGAGACGAGGGAGGCGTGGACTGCGGCGTCCCGGCGCCTGTCTGCGCTGGAGGCCTCCGCGGCCGAGACGGGCACCATGCGGTCGGAGCTGAGGGCGCTGCGCCTGGGCCAGCAGCTGGAGCTCGCCGCGGCCCCTGGGAGCCCCTCCTCGAGCCCAGTGGCTGCGGCGTCCCAGCGCCTGGCCCTGGAGGGCGCCTCGCCGCGTGGCCGCGCCGGCGCGGGGCGCAGCGCCACGCCGACCCGCAGGCCCGCCCAGGGTGTGGCGGCCGCCGATGGCCGCAGCGTTACGCCGCGGGGTGCCAGAGTCGGCGCGGCCGCGTGGGCGGGGCTGCCCGTGACGACGGGGCGCCGGGTGGAGTGGGCTGTGCCTGCCAGCGCGCTCGCGGCTGCGCGGCAGTCTCGCGCTGGGGGCCAGCTGGTATGCCCGCACGGCTGTCTTGGCCATTGCCCGCCCCTCCTCTGTGTGTGGGGATTTCGGCCCTGGCCTGTTCCTTTCTTCTTCCCTCTGCTGCTGCCGCTCGTCCTCACCCTCGTCCTTGTCGTCGTCGTCGTCGTTTCGTCGTCGTCGTCGTCGTCGTCGTTTCGTCGTCGTCGTCGTTTCGTCGTCGTCGTCGTTTCGTCGTCGTCGTCGTCGTTTCGTCGTCGTCGTCGTCGTCGTCGTCGTCGTCGTCGTCGTCGTCCCTCCTTCTCGTCCTCCTTCATCCTTTCTTCTTCTGCCCCTTATCCGCTTGCCTTTTCCCCCTTCCCCTGGTTCCCCCTCCTCCCTCTCCTCCTCCGTCTGCCCGTGGCGTTCCTGTGGTGTTGTTCAGTTGCTTGTCGTCAGTCCCATGCTCGCCATCTGGCTTCGGCGGGCGTGACAGCACGCCCCCAGGGTTAGCGGTCTGGCACGTGTTGATGCCGAGGACCCAGAGAGTGCTCATGCACGTAGCGCTCTTACCGTGCATGTTCGTGTGATCCTGACGTTTCCAAAGGGCGCCCGCTGTAGTCATACATGTTATGGTGCCTTATAAGGAGAGGCACGGCCCTTCCGCTGCTCGCTCGGCGCCCGCGGCTGGCGCCCCGCCGAGGGGCCGCGCCTCGGCCCGCGGCGGCGCCGGCCGCCCGCCCAGCTCCGTCTCGTCGCCAACGAGGGGTCGCAGGGTCGGAGGAGGAGGATGAGGAATGATGATGATGATGACGACGAGGATGATGATGATGAGTATGATGATGATCATGAGGATGATGATGACGAGGATGCTGATGATGATGAAGCTGATGATGATGCTGATGATGCTGATTATGACGATGATGATGATGCTGACGATGATGCTGCTGGTGGTGATGATGATGCTGATTAGTAGGATGATGACGATGATGGTGCTGCTGCTAGTGACGATTATGACGATGATGCTGATGATGCTGATGATGATGAAGCTGATGATGATGCTGTTGACGATGACGATGATGATGATGATGATGATGATGATGATGATGATGATGGTCATGATGATGCTGACGATGATGCTGATGATGATGCTGGTGATGATGACGAGGATGCTGATGATGATGAAGCTGATGATGATGCTGATGATGCTGATTATGACGATGATGATGATGCTGACGATGATGCTGCTGGTGATGATGATGATGCTGATTAGTAGGATGATGACGATGATGGTGCTGCTGCTAGTGACGATTATGACGATGATGCTGATGATGCTGATGATGATGAAGCTGATGATGATGCTGTTGACGATGACGATGATGATGATGATGATGATGATGATGGTGATGATGATGCTGACGATGATGCTGATGATGATGCTGGTGATGATGACGAGGATGCTGATGATGATGAAGCTGATGATGATGCTGATGATGCTGATTATGACGATGATGATGATGATGCTGACGATGATGCTGCTGGTGATGATGATGATGCTGATTAGTAGGATGATGACGATGATGATGCTGCTGCTAGTGACGATTATGACGATGATGCTGATGATGCTGATGATGATGAAGCTGATGATGATGCTGTTGACGATGACGATGATGATGATGATGATGATGATGATGATGATGATGCTGACGATGATGACGAGGATGCTGCTGGTGATGGTGATGAAGATGATGATGATGATGATGATGATGATGATGATGATGATGCTGACGATGATGATGATGCTGATTATGACGATGATGATGATGATGATGATGATGATGATGATGATGATGATGATGATGATGATGATGATGATGATGATGATGATGATAACGATTATGATAATGATGATGACGATGATGATGATGATAATGCTGATGCTGATGCTGATGCTGATTCTGATACTGATGCTGATGCTGATGCTGTTGCTGCTGATGCTGCTGATGATGATGATGATGCTGATTATTAGGATGACGATAATGATGATGCTGCTGCTGATGAAGATGATGTTGAATCTGATGATGATGATGATGATGATGATGATGATGATGATGATGATGATGATGATGATGATGATGATGATGATGATGATGATGATGATGATGATGATTATTATTATGGGAGTGCGTGCGCAAGAATGGGGTAAGAGAGCGGCTTGTCGTTTGCCAGCATGTCTGTCAGAGCATCTGCAAGCTCCGAAGTCTTTTTGGCTCAAAGGGTTGAGCCTGCGACCTCCGGCCTCGGCATTGGATGGCCGGGGGCCCTCTCCAGAAGCTGTTCCTGCTCCTGGGCCACGAGGCGCGGACCTACGGGCTGCTGCGGGCACCCGAGCCCCCCGCGCTGGCCTGCCCGCCGTGCGAGTGCAGGTGCCCGGCCCCGAGGGAGCCGTGGGCCGTGGTGCCGGCGGCCTGCGAAGAGGCGGACCCGCAGTGGGGGGCGCTGCCTCAGGCCTTCGGCGCCGGCCTGGCGGGCCAGCTTGCGGGGCGGCTCGCCTGGGGTTGCGGCTGCTGGGCCCTCTCGTGCTTCTCGTGCTGCAGGCGCCATGGCGATCGCCCCGCACGCCGTCGTGGACTCGGAGTTCTGGAAGACGCTGATGCCGGGGGCCCGACTACTGGTGTGGTACGGCGACGACAACGTGTGGCATGAGAGACTGGCGGTGTGGCCAGTCCAGGGTGCTCAGTGGGTGCTGCAGACACCCGACAAGGACGTGGAGGCGGAGTTCTGGACGGGTCAGAGCCCGACGGCCTCGAGCGCGCCATCCCGCTGCTGGTGGACGGCAGGCTGCCCAGGCTCGGCGCTCAGGCGTACCGCATCAAGGAGGCTCCGGCGCGCGACGAGCTCAAGGCGGTGATCCGCCAGGGCCACGCGGAGGCGGAGGAGATCGTCCGCTCCGCAGGCCTGGAGCTCCGGCGGCCCGAGCAGGTGATGGTGAAGTTCGGTGAGGTGACCATGCTGGACGACCTCTTCCCGCGGCGACGGGCTCGTTTCCCGCTGTCGCCGGCGCGGGGACGGCAGGAGACTCAGGCGGGGAGGTCTTCCCAGCGCGCGGGCCTGGGCCCGCCATCGCAGGCCATGTCTGGGTGCTGGTAGAGCCCTCCGCCATAAGACCCGTGGGCAGCGAGGTCAAGCTTGAGGCCGATGACGTGCGAGTCGACAAGTACGACGCCCTGGTGACCCGCGGAGATGGCTATCGGAGGGTCACTTGCATTCGGACGGACCTCCTGGAGAGGTTCATCGCCGACTGGTGTGGGATGGCGCGTGCGGAGCTGCTGGTCACGGGCGAGGCCCAGCCGGAGGCGAGCCGTGCGCAGACCATCCTGGGCGCGGATCCAGGCCAGGCGGCCTCGCCAGCGGCAGCCGCTGACAGCGGGGACGCCCGTGAGCTCTGGTTGGACTGCGACGAGCTGGGGACCAGGTACAAGGATTTCCGCAAGTGCTGCCATGAGTCGCGCAGCCTCGTGGACCCAGACTTCCCGCTGCAGGTGCCCTCCACTGTGCATGCCGTCATGCGCCACATGGAGCGTCACGGGGGCAATCCACGCCTCTGGCTGGCCATCTGGGCACGAGAGCGCCGCGTTGAGGACTCGGACCGCGTGATGCATGAGATGCGGTGCTTGATCGACATCCTCTTCCTGGGTGCGACCTACGACCAGGTTAACTTCCCAGCGCTGGCCAGCATGGAGGTGGCCGTGCGCCGGTCGCAGGCCATCGTCGACGTGTACCAGGTCTCTGGCAAGGCCCCGAACTGGCAGCTCGCTCGCTACTTTGCGGGCATGTCCTCGGCGGTCGATGCGATCGCACCAGAGATGAGGCAGTGCGTGGCCAAGAAGGCGAAGGAGGACGCCGACGTCGCCGCGGGGGCCCAGCGGGTGCGGACGCTCCAGGCTGGCTCTGGCGAGGAGGAGACCCCCCAGGGGGGGGCAGGAGGCGGAGGTCGGGGGAAAGGCGGCCGTGGCCGCGGCGGCGCCGCCGATGGCCGCGGCCGCGGCAGTGGCGCGCCCCCCGGCGCCCAATGACGACCCTCGGGCACGGCGGGGGGAGTGGGCCCCCCCCCGCCGAGACGTATCGGCCCACGTCGGCCGCTCCTTCGCCGGGGCGGGGCTCGCGCCTGCTCTTCCCGACCCCCTTGGTGGCGGAGGGGCTTGGCGGCCGACATCGTCGTGAGCGACGGGGGCCTCGTGGCCATCGGCGCACCTTTGTCGTCGTCAATCGGGCGATCAGGGCGCTCAATTGGCTGGGGGGCCTGGAGAGCAGCACTTTCTTGCATCGGTGCGACTTCACTGGCATGCGCGACGAGGTAGTGGCGCGCATCGAGGGCCTGGTCAGATCCCAGGAGCCGGTTGCTGACGCACCCTCGCCGAGATCGCCTTTTTTGCAGATGATCCGTGGCGTCTCCCTGTACGAGGAGTGCCAGTCGAACGTTGCCCCCTTCCAGTTGCGCCTTGTCTCTTTGCCGGCCGACGTCTCCGCGGCGCCGTTCGTGGGCGACCTCGTCGACCAGCAGGGGCGCCTCTTCCCGGGGGGTTGTGGAGAGCGTATGCTACGAGACACCGGCGAGTTTGAGAGCTTGCGGCGGCACGACCCGGTCAAGCCGTACTCAGATCCCCGCCTGGCGCGGTCGCGCGGGCAGTGCCTTCGGTTCGTTCGCCGCCTGCGCGGTATCGGCATGCCCCGGTATACCACGCGGCCGATCGACTTCATTGGTTCCTTCCTCGTCTGGAAGAAGGGCAAGACTAAGCAGAGATTAACCCTGGATGGGCGAGCCGCCAACCAGCGGTTTGCCCAGCCTCCTCATGTGGACCTACTGACCGCGAAGGGCCTCTCGAACATCGAGGTCTACGTCGACGAGGACCCTGAGCTGGCCACCGACCTGGGCCGAGGTGCTCTTCGGGCGCTCCGAGTTGCCCTGGGCGTGGCCGACGTGGAGAACTGCTTCCACCGCATGATCATGCCGCCGTGGATGAGCGCTTTTTTCTGTTACGAGCGGGTGTCCGCCGCCGAGGTCGACCCCTCGGGCCTTCCGTTCGTCGAGGGCTATCGGGCTTTCGGCGACGCTCAGGTGTGGCCGGCCGCGCGCCCTCTTCCCATGGGGTTCGCA